CAGATTCTCCAAGCCCTAGCATTGCTTTCCTGTTGCTTTCTCATATTCCTTTTTTCTTCATTTGTTTTTTGCTTCATTTTGTGAACTTATGACAGTAAAAATGTGATCATACGTCATGGCAGACGCACAATGCGCTGTGATGCTTGGCACAAAGAGCACCTCCTAGGCATGTTGCCACACATACACCACGGCGGCTTATCTACAAGCCTTGGCACATGGCACATAATCTTTCCTTTTAAAATTCCTTCCTCTTTCATTCTCGGGTAACTTAATTCTCCTTTGGACTCGCGTTTAAGGCTGAAATTGAAACCAAACAAGCCCGTTAAGCCTCTCTAGCCACACACCTCGCTAATACACTTAATTAATTTGATTGGGCTTATTTAATTTAGTTTAAAATTAAGGATGGTATAAGTTCAACCTTAGTTTTAGAAAGATAAATAATATCAAGTAAGTGGGTAGAAGCTAGTTGTCTCGATATTTAAATTGTCACAGCTTTCCTAATACTGTGATAGTTTTAGCTTATGAACCTTATGGTGCTAAGGAAGCTTTTCATAGGCAGCTTCCTTAGCCTTTGCAGACTCTATAGTTGAGTAGTCGTTCCTTGCCTTCTTATTAGGGCTGTGGTTATCAGCTTCCTCATAAGCAGCACACTTCTTTAACTTCAAGTATTGAGGTTGCTCAACTATAGAAACATCCTCAGGCTTGACATTGAGATTAAAAGATGAAAGTAGCTCCATGTTACTTGTAAAATTCTGGTTGTTACCTCCGAGCTAGAACCAGAACCCCATAGGGGATTATTTAGAAGCCTAAGGTCAAAAAATGCTTTCAAAAGATTAGTGTTGGGGAAGAAAATAAGCCAACAAGGCCCATCAAGAGTAGCATAAGGTGAAAACGCATAAATACCATCATCCTTCATCCCATGATAGAGAACATTACTCTTTTTAAGTGCTTTGTCAAAAAAATTAAAATCTGTAGGCAGTTGGACCCAGCTATATTTATCATTTGAAACACTTTGAATGAAAAGACCAAAACCATCTTTTGACCATCCATAAATGTCACAGTTGTTCTTCCAAGTATTAATCAAAACCTAAGGGCAAGGGGGTTTATTATCCATAAGAAACCATTTAAAAGCTTGAATGGATTGTGGATATGTAGCTAGTAGGACAAATATCTTCAAATCATTCATAGGTTGACTGCCCTCTTCCCTAGGTTAGTAAAATTGTTTCTTGTAAAATCATCTACTTGAGATTCTAAGCTATCTAGGCTATGATTTAATCTTCTTTTCTTGTAAATTTTTGAGCTAAAAGTTACAATGGGATGAGAAGTTCGGGTGCTAATATTAGGAATCTCTGAAACAGCTTGGTACTAGTGAATCATGGTAGCCATAAGCCTATCCTCATCAATGTTGGATTCGCCAACTTTCCTTTTTAAGGGACGATTCCCTCCATCTTGGCTAATAATGGCCTCTAAAAGGTTAAGAGATTTAGAAAAAATGGTACTTCCACATCTCTAACTGGTTGAATTGGTTCCTGTACTAGATCTCTAAAAGCGATCCTATTCCTAGGTGTTGGTTCAAAAAAGATCCATATTAATCCTGTACTAAAGCCAAATTAGCATCAGGAAGTTTATTAATAAGGTTATTTATCTAGTTCCAATTGTTTAGTGGGAGAATATTTGGAAAAGGATGATTTTCTTGACAAGGAAAGTGAAGATCTACAGGAGCATTGAAATCCTTATTAGTATTGTTGACATTATTGTTAGAATTAGACAAAAATTCTTCACCATCAAAATAAAACATAAAAGCATTGCTACCTTCATCATTTACAAGAATATCTTATGGCTTAGCTTTAAAAACATGATATCCTGGGCGTCCAAATCTAAGAAATCTAATACGAGTAGAACCCTTTGGTTGATTATTTATAATCCATCCTTGCTAGTCCTCGAGCAACTTGACCAGCTTTAAACACAAATTGAAACCTTTGGCTAAACCTCCTACTTATTTTATCATATACCATATTGAAACATGTGTAGGCTTGCATAACCCTCCTCAAGCATGCTTGGAGCAGGTGCCCAATCACCTGAGAAAAATGGCAGTGGCAAAAGATCCTCTTATAAGGACATTTGACAACAAAAGTAATACCTGAATCTATGTGGTCTTTAATTTGCTGAATAAGAGGAAATCAGGGATTGATTATAACTCAAACTCGAAGAAAATTTAGAGAGCTAGCATAATCATCATGGTCTTGAACATAAGTAGTGTTAGCAATAATATTCCCTAAAGTAGAAGCAACCACATCATTATGATATTCTAGGGGTAGACCCCAAAATTAGACCCAAATTGAGAAACTTCCAACAACCATTTCCCTCAGTTGCATATTTGAATACTAGCGATCAGCCACAAGCAGAGAGTTCATAATAGACCATGGACCATTATCAATAATGAAATCATGATCTTCTGGGTTAGTGAAGTTGACAAGATAAAAACATCCAATTTTGCCTCTTATTTCAAAACCATTCCTAAGAGACTGGGCATTTCTAAATCTCTTAGAAAGCTTTTTGATAGAGTAAACATGAGAGTCAACTAGCACAATGATAACACAATAATCTAGAGAAAAGCTTGGTCTAGCAAAGGCTCCAGGATTAAAACGCATAGAAGGTTGGAACAATCTCTTCATCAAACTAGGTGAAAAGACCTTAAGTGTAAAAAAAAAAAAGGATCATGAATAAAGAGAAGGAAAGAGATTTAAGGAATGTAGAGAAATAAGGCTCTTTCAAGTTCTAGATAGCATAAGGATGATAACTTGCTAAAAAACAAACAATATTCCTTCTTATATAGAAAAATGACCATGAGGAAATGAATTGTCAAGGACTAAGAAAGAGAAAATGCACTGGGAGAAGCAATCAAAAGAAAAGAGCATTGGTACAAAAAAGCATGAGCAAGGAGATAATAAATAAAAAGGAAAAAGAGAGTCAAGGTAATAATCAATTATCTGGGAGAAAGATCAATAAGATTTGAATAAGCTACAGAATGCTAGCCATACTTGAAGATGAAGCAATCACCTTAAGTCGAGTCTCTGAAGTAGCAACCCAATCAAAGCACAGTAGGAAAGACAAAGGCTCAAACCTTAGGAAATGATTAGGCTAAAGAATAAGGAAACATGCTAGGTGAAACAAATGTTTATAAGGAAAATGAAAACGAAGATAAATGAAAGATAGGAACAATCACAAGGGTTCAAACAAGTTGATCGAGACTAACAACACTTCTCATATAAGAGAGAAGGAGGAGAACTTTCTTTTACTAGGAGAGTCCAATATATCATGTATCATTGACCTTTTAATTAATAATTAAAAAATAATAATCTTTTAGTTCTTGTAGTTTTGACTTAATTGTAATTCAATCCTCGAACTTTGACTCGTTATAACTCAGTCCCTGAAATTTTAGCTCGATTGTAAATTAGCCCCTGAACTTTGCTTTTTGTAATTTAGTCCTTGAAATTTTAACCTCTTAAATATTAGTCTCTATATTTTAAAAAATAAAATTAAAAAGATTAAAAATTATAAATTTTAAAATTTTAAAATATTTTTAATATTTATAATTTTATTTTTAAAAATATAAGAACTAATATTTAAAATGTTTAAACTTCAGAAACTAAATTGCAAGAGAAAAAGTTTAGGAATTGATTTATCACCAAGTCAAAACTTCAGGGATTGAATTATAACGAGTCAAAATTTTAGAATTGAGTTACAACTAAATCAAAATTATAATAACTAAAAAATTATTTTTTTTAATTATTAATTAAAAGGTCAATGATACATGATGTATTGAACTCTCCTCAGTCCTCCGGCGTGACCCACCTTGGAAGTTGGATGCATACATGTCGGTGAAGCTGGGGGAGCAGGGCTTGAGTGAATCAAGGTGAATGGAGACGGTGAAGGACAAGAAAGCGGATGGCCTGGAGCCGATGATTCCTCAAAGCCTAAGGATGAAACAACATACCATTATTGCCATCGATAATTTCATAGATGCGCGCACTCTCCCAATTGTCAATCTGGTGATTTTTCCAAGTGGCTGAGTTGCGCCTGGTTCTTCCGTCAGATTCTGTTGTTTTACTATCAGGATAAATCTTCGCGGACGGGATCACAAGTGTCGCTAGATTAGATCGCTGTTCAACCCGAGGAGAATTGTCAATCAGGTAGAGGACGATGGCATCGGTATGGAGATTCGGGAGGCCGTGTCAGGGATTTCAATGTTTGGAGGCAGAGGACGTGCCTCTTTGATTTTTTTTTTATTTTTTAATCAAAAGTCATGACAAATATTAATTTAGTGAAAATCCAATGTTGTAATAAAATTTCTGTTTAATTTCATTTTTTAAAAAAATTAATTTGATGAATTATAATGTTGTTTGAATTATTGGGGTGAAATATGTTTTTGAATAATGTACAATTATAAAAAAAGATTTTGATTTATGAAGATTCATAATTTTTATTATGCAAACATAATATAAATTTAAAATATTTTAAAAATGTGATAAAAATTTTAAATAAAATAAAATTTGATATGTTAAATAAAATAATAAAGTCTGATATATTAATAAAATCATATAATAAATTGTTTAATAAAATATTTATGAGTCATTCTATTACAGGATTAAATCTCGCACGACGACCTTGTTGGAATTGAAATATCAATTAATACAAGTGGTTAAGGTTTTTGTCACTTAAACAAGTATTATCTCTCATCTAACTCACCATATTTTTAAAAAAAATTACTTAAAGTAGTGTTTAAAAATAAAAAAATATTTATTCAAATTTTAATTATTTTTAAAAGTTTAAACAAATATTATAAAATTTCATAAAATAATTAAAAATAAATAAATAAATTTTTCATGGGAAAAAAAAAGCTTCAATAAACGGCCACATCTCAATTAACTAGCATTTTCCCTTCAAAATCCACTTTCAACTTTGCACAACCAAATTCCATATGGATCATGCAGGTTTTGGGACATCCAAAACTCATTGTTACAGGAAAAACAAAACAAAAATTATATCGATTCAATTCACAGCACTCGCCCGTCCTGCATATGCTTTGATTATAAAACTAATCATTTTCGTTCAACTCCATTGCCGGCCCCAGACGGGAAAGCGTGAGCGTGTCGCCGTCCTTGCTGTTAATTTCAAAGGCTTCTAGCGATGAAATCAATGCACAATCCTATTCCTATATAAGTGCCCTCCAATGTTTTGCAGATCGGCGTGTCAGCTACCTGATCATCTACTCAATTTAATCTGACCATTTATTTTTTGAGCTTCAATTTTAAGTGTCCCTGTCAAAAATGGCTTATGCTCGCATCGCCTTCCTCGCCATTTCCATGGTTCTGCTTTCTTCTGTTGCTACGGCGACTGATCACATCGTGGGCGATGACCAGGGCTGGACTCTTGACTTTGACTACGCAGAATGGGCAAGGGACAAGGTTTTCCTTGTCGGCGACAACCTCGGTACGCACGAATGACATCGATCGTCTTGTATCGTCCTATAGATGATTATGTTTTCACTTTTCTGAAACTAGAAAACTGATGAGATTGTTTCTTTTTGATGCAGTGTTCAACTACGACAACACGAAGCACGATGTGTTCAAGTTGAACGGTTCGCTCTTCAGCAATTGCACCTTCCCGGCTGCGACGGAGGCACTCACCAGCGGACAGGACGTGATCCCACTAGCCTCTCCAGGAAGGAAGTGGTACGCTTGTGGTAAAGCTGATCACTGTGCTTCTCGCGGAATGAAGCTCGCCATCACTGTTCTGGCTAATGGTCCAATGTCTGCTCCTCCTCCTCCTCCTTCCTCTCACGCTCTGTCATCGTCTGCTTGTTCTGGGCCACTCAAGGCAGCCATGCTTGCTGTTGCAGCATTGATCTTCGCGTGATTGATCATCAGTTCATTAGTGGCGGTTTTGTTCGAGTCTGCAGGAATTACTTGAATTTCTTCCTTTCGATGTATTCTTGTTAAACGTATTTGATTGTTGGTTTAATTATAATAATTTCTTTCCATCTTACTCCTGTCTAGTCATGATTAAATTAAAGCTCGTGTCTTGAAACTGAGATAAGATACATGATAAAGGTCAGTGCTTATATATGTACTTAATTTACACAACGTTAATGCAGTCTGGTTTAACTGAGAAAATAAGAATCGGCGACCATGCTTTTGCACACGTCTGTCACATAGCTCGCTAGTAGAAGTACCAGAACGACAACAACAAATGCTTTGAGAGCAACTTCCCTGGTTGATTCGGGTGTTAATTTTGCATCAGTCTCTCCCTCGAATTCGTTCTCTGCTTCGTCCGTGTCTTCTTTTACTGTCTCTTCATGTCTGGTTCTGTTCCTTTCTGTGAATTCCATTTTCGGATCTGCAGTTTCTTTTTCTTTCCGGGGTGGTTCGTATTCTGGGGTTTGTCTTTCTTTGTCCGTTTGAGAAACGGGATTGATTACTTGCTTAGGTATCACCACCGTGAGAATGTTCTGCATGAATCTGGCATTGATAGCATTTACATTACAGTGAGTTGGAATTTCAATTTCTTTCTTGAAACGCCTCCATCTAGCTCCATCCATCAATGATCGCTCTCCGCTTATTATTAGAAATCCCAGATGATTCACCTGAACTTTTACTTGCTCTCTCCTGAATCCTGCAACGTGGACAACTCACGTATAATTCATAAATATTGCCTTTTTCTGGTTCACACACATAAAACTGTTTTTACAGTAAACTTATTAGGTTCCATTAAAGCTAGCAACAAGGTTACTGATGAAAGAGCATTACGAAGTCATGATAATAGGTGGACAGAACAAACCAGGAAGATGAACTTCAAGGATGTCACGGCCTTCTTCTCTACTCCACTTGCAGAGGGGGTCAAAATCCTCATAAGACCGATGACCAGCCATAAAGGGATACCTGGTTTCCATAGCGCGCAGAGAGAGAAGGGAGGGGGGTTTCTCCGACGTCTGATGTGTAATGGAATTTCATGGCTAGGAGGGTTGCTTTTAAAGAGTGTAGAGGGAGACTTGCAGATGAGGAGAGGTTTAAGGTTACTTTCAGGGTTCAAGTTGAGCAAGAATCATTCCTTGTCAACCTTTCAAAGTCTTCTTTGTAACCCCTTTGATCTGGCAAACATTGAGCGGGTTTCTATTAATTGTGTCAGAAGATACCCTTCCTTTGTGCGTATGAATCAGCGTTAGTATAGCATGCATTTTCAGTACTTATTCATTTTAAAAAATTAATTGCCACGATTTTATAATTTTTTTCAGTTTTAAACTAGATTCTTATAATTTATTTTATTTGAATTGAGTTTTTATAGTTTAAGTCGTCATACTTGTTATTTCTTCAATGTTAAAATCATTCACACAAAAAAATCTAAACGAAAAGCTTTTTGAATTTGTAAGAATTTGATTTAATATTTTTGGGCAAAAAATGTTCTGATTTCATACAATGTTTCATCTTTATTAATTTTTTTTTCTGAAAATTATATGTATGTGTATGTATATGTATATATAAATTATTCAAGAAATATAATCTAATTGTTTTGTCATGGAGCCCAAAAATACAAATTATACTTGACGGAGTGCCCAATTAAATTTGTTTTTTTTTTGTTAATTTAGGCTTAAAAAATCATTTGTTTTTTGCATAACTGCGCTTGTAAGTTAAGTCCTGTCAGGTTATGTAAAAACGAACTCAAGCAATACACTTAAACCATTTTTTGTTTTACCCTTGACAAGTAAAATATTTTTAATTTTTAAATTAAATTTATGCTTTAAAAAATATATTTATATTTTAAAATTAGAATTTATAATTATTTTTAAATTTTGAAAATTATAATTTGTATTCTAAAAAAATATGTATTACAATGTAAAATTAAATTTTTAAAAATTTAAAAATAAACAACAGGCTTATGAGCCCAATCTCAAGGCCAATTAATAATGGTCAAGCTTAAAAAAGTTCAATCTTATGATAGTTAGATTTTTGAGTTTGATCTTACATTGGTTAAACCCGGGGAGTATATGAATGCCAAATATAATTGGAGACTATAAAAGTATTTAAATTTATTTTTTAAAAGAGAAAATTCAGAAATTTTAACTTGTGGGAATTAATAAATTCACAGGTGATAAATCTTTTGCGTTGTTTAGTTAAGTTATACTTTGTGAGACCAGTATTTTCAAAATCAAATTAAATATTGAATTAAAAAAATTAGCGGTTCATGATTCTCATTGTCCAACCCGATTGCACCAATAATCAAATTAGTGACATAATAATTAAATAAAAATACTATTATATATATAAAAAATATTAATTGGTGACATAATATGACTGCAATTTAATAATTTTACGGATGATAATTTTATAGCTTATCAAATCTTAATAAATCTCTGTTAAATTAAATATAAGTAGATTCAAAAATATTTATGTTTATAATTATCAACATCTTTATAAAAAATAATCTCAAATTATATTTTATACATGTAAATTAGTCAAAAATAAAGTTGACTTTTAGTAGCATTTAATTTTTAAATTTTTTAATTTATTTTCTTAGTTTTTAAATTTTTTTAATATTATGTTTAAAGTGGTATGGTTTTTTGAAAATCAATTCAGTTTTTATTTTGATTTTAGTTTTCAATTCTCTAGTCCAATTTAATTTAATAAGAAATAATTTTTTAATCCAAATTTATTTATTAACAGTTTCATTCGACAATCCAAACGTTTAATTCGGTTCGATTTTTAAATTATTGGGCAATTGTTTGTCGCAATTTCTTGGGAGCGTAGTAAATCATCATGATTGCCTAATGGTCTATACACCAGCCCAATGATGATGATTTTTTGGTCCGGGAGCCCAGTAGCAAGGATTCGAATAGGCCGATAATGTGGTTTTTTAGGACGACTTAATTCCCCCATCCTCCCGAAGGCATGTACGAATTGAATTTTTATTTATGATACCTAACTAAAGTCTGGGCAACGACCAGCGACTTCATAACTGGGCAAGAAAAGAGTAGACCGGTAGTTTCGCTCGTGACAAGGTCCACCTTGCAGTTCGAAACCACTGCCATTCTACGGTTCTCCCGCATTCTATAACTCTGCGCCCCCTCACCCTCCTCCATTTTCCCCAAAGCTCCCTTTTCACTGGTAAATCACGTTTCGTTCCACAATGTATAACTGTAACTGACATTTGAAACAAATTACAAAGAAAGGTAGACCAATTTTGCTTCTTTTGATCAAATTGTTTCTTTTGAAGCCCTTTTCCTCTAGGCAGAGGAATCACGCCCATGCCTCCGGAAACTTCAACGAGCTCAGCTGGTGGTAAAGAGGGATCCTCGGGTCCTTCTTCTAAGAAGAATTCCAAGAAACCCAAATGTGAGTTTTCCCTCGACCCACCCTTTTTCTTTTGTCATTGTGTTCTACTCGGAGATTTTTTTTTTTGGTTACTGCAGTTTGTTTTTAGGTGTATGTCGTGGGAGCATCGTGAAATGTTAGTTTTGTTCAGTTTGTGTGTGTGTGTGTGTGTGTGTGTGTGTGTGTGTGTGTGTGTTACCGAGACAAGTTTTATTGGCAGCAGGTTGAGATATACGTACAAAAATTAGGATTTTGCAAATGTTAAGATGCATTCAGTTTTTTCCCAAAATCATGGCTCTCAAATTTGAAATGTGTTCGTGTCCTCCTATCTGTCCACGTAGCCTCGATTTGTTGTCTGGTTTCTGTGTGTTCGTTGGAGAAAGGTCCTTTCTCAATTACATTGGTTGGACTGTCTTGTCATGTCTCTGTTTAACAACTTGTTACGGTTTGTCAAATTTGATGCTTGTGATAGATGCATTTCTATTGTCTAGGTGTCTTCCTGCATGTAATGATGCTGGTGATGTTTCTCATGAGAAGTTTCGTTGATTGTAGATTCCAAATTTTCACAGCAAGAACTTCCTGCATGGAAACCAATTCTAACACCAGGATGGGTATAGCTTCACAGTAGTTTCCTTCTTGGCTTCTGATTTTTACATGCTGTATTATGAAACAATCTATTTTACCTTTGCATTACAGGTCATTTCTACGTTTGCTTTTGCCGGAATCATTTTCATTCCTATTGGCCTCGCATCATTATCTGCATCAGAAAAGGTAATATATAACGATTTTATATGCAACTAGTGTCAAAGGAGATATGAGTGCTCAAATTCATTTCATCTTGAACCAAAAAAAAAAACACTTTGGTGCAGGTTGTAGAACTACCATTTAGGTATGACCAACAATGCATTCCTCCTGATTATAGTAACAATGCAGAGGCTTATATTAAAAGCACAACTACCAACAAAACATGCACTGCGACATGCAAAGTTAGTACAATGCCTATATTTCTGATATGATTGAAAGCGATATAATTGTTTCTTTTTCCTTGTCTGATGTCATAATCGAGGCTCCAATCCACATGGAAGTAACTTGTTCAAAAATACAGGTTGAAAAGGCAATGAAATCCCCAGTTTACGTCTACTATCAGCTAACTAATTATTTCCAGAACCATCGCAGGTATGCACATTTTACTGGTGATATTGTTTCCCTTTTCTTCTTTATGTAGAGCATACAAGTTCATGCATCGATGAGCTGTTTTGTTCATGTTTTATCAGAAGGCCTTGTTCAGTTGTTCCTGATTTAGGCTTGATATAAGAAATGAAAGCAAATCAGATATTGTTTTATATACAATGCTCATATAGTCATATATCTTATTATTTTCAGCTGGGAAATTTCTAATTCTTCTTGCTTTCAGCTTATGCTGTATTGTGAAATTCTTATTCCTTCCTAATTTTGGACGTTGGAATAACGTTTGCAGATATGTTAAAAGTAAAAGTGATGATCAACTGCGGGAGAAGTCTGCTGAGTGGGACACAGATGATTGTAAACCCGAAGCTAGAACACCAGATGGTCAGCCGATTGTTCCTTGTGGACTCATAGCTTGGAGTCTGTTCAATGACACGTACAAAATAAAAGTGAAGGACAAGGATTTGGAGATCAGCAAACACAACATAGCATGGCAGAGTGATCAGACCAAAAAATTTGGTTCTGATGTTTACCCAAAAAATTTTCAGACGGGAGGTTTGATTGGGGGCGCAAAACTCAACGAGAGCATACCTGTAAGTATATCTTCACTGCTGAATAGTCTGCCTATTTTCATTTTTTTTTTCATTTCTAGAAAAACACATGAGAATTTTTCTCGTGTGAATCTCACCAGCTGAGCGGACAAGAGGATCTAATCGTCTGGATGCGAACAGCAGCATTGTCCACTTTCAGAAAACTGTATGGGAAGATAGAGACTGACCTTGAAGCTAACGATGAGCTATTCCTAGTGATCGAGAACAATTATAACACATACTCTTTCGGTGGCAAGAAGACTCTGGTTCTGTCAACCGCAACTTGGATTGGTGGAAAGAACGATTTCTTGGGGTTGGCTTATATTTTTATTGGCGGCCTGTCCTTGTTCTTCGCTGTAGGCTTCTTGCTTCTGTATGTGCTTAAACCAAGGTGAGGAAATACCATGCTCGACCATCACTTTATGGTTCTTTCTCTAGTTTACGTGTTATGTGAATGATGTTATAAGCAGCAACCAGACCTTGCATTTCGAGTACTCCATGGTTGCATGCTACTGCATGTTGTAGGTTCAAATCTTATTAGAATTGGAAATTAATTGAGATTTCAGCATGAAAAGTTTTGGGATTGGAGGGTCCCAAATTTCATTGAAAACCCACATCAAAATCGTATCATACAAAAATCATGCTCGCCTGGTTATGTGAAAAGCCAATGATTGCTCTGAAGTCGAGAATCGTGCATATGGATTCGTGTGTTAAGCACGTGGAAGCTGACATTGCCATATTTATTGGTTTGAATACAGACCTCTTGGGGATCCATCCTACTTGTCTTGGAATAGAAATCCAGGAATGATCAAATGAGGAGATAGTATATATACGGGAAATTCCTGTGTTTTAGGTGATTTAGAAGTTGTCTCTCTTCCTGCTTCACCAACTTCTTTGCGTGGCAAGGGATCTGTCTTTGCTGGGGTTTGTACTCGACCATGTTGTACGGCTCGTCACTTTCAGTGTCATGTATTATGTGTCATTATCGATTTGAATCCAAAAATAGTGCTGGAGTCAACAGAATCAGTGACGAAGTTGATATTCAAGACGTTATGTTGCGGTCACCGTCTTGCTTTTTTTTTTTTTTTTTCCATTACAGAGGACAAGGTGGTGCTTTGAAATCCTCAGGAAGTCTAAAGAATACAAAAAATAATTTAATATGTCAAGAAGACTGCAAGTACAAATTTTCTATTTGGAAAACATAATTATTGATCCTATATTTTTATCATGTTTTGTTATTGATCTTTATATTTTTTTTTTTTAATATTCCAGATTCCTGTAGTCTTATCTCCTATGTTAGTCTCTCTATTTTGAAATATGGTCAAAGGAATGATGATAAAGCACTAACAATGTTGAATTATGACATTTGATGTATAAGGCAAGAGATTTGACTCACGATGATTAAAAATTACTTTTTAATGTTAACAAGTGTTGTGGCCAAAAGTCCAAAATAATTTTTGTCAAAAAGCAATCATTTTTTCCCCTACTGTTAATTCAAATTGCTTGTGTTTTGAACATGTTGGCATTTTTATTAATGTTATTAGTTACACATAAGATAATTTAATACTATTATTAGTCCAAAGTATCGTTGCTTTGGGCATACTTAAAAGTAGATAGAGTAACATTATAAATGAAAAAAAAAAACTGAAAGGACATGGAACATTGAAAAAAAAAAAGAAGTATAGAGTGTGATAAAACTATAAAGATTACTAGTTATGTTTTCCCTTTTCTATTACTTATTATTTGAGTATTCATTATTTTATTAATGATATAATGGGTGTTTGAATTTTGCAAATGAACATATAATTTGTCACGATCACCAAACTTGAGAGGCAAAGATTATAGAAAACAAGGGAGAAAATATGATATTCCAATGAAAATTACTCATGTATCAACGACTGAAGGTAACGATGATGTTCGGCTAAAGCCTATTACAATCATAATAAAGGCATTAACAACAGAAATTATTGGGGCAGAAAGGCCAGATAGCAGAAGAATCGCTAATGTTCTTTTATGCTTCTCACGGTGCGCCTTTAACCTCTGTATATCACCTATGATTCTAATTCCTAGCCCATTAATATCTTTGTCGGTCCATTCGTGATTCTCACGGCTCACAAGCCATTTTCTACCTCCATCAGGTAGAGCCGAGAATAAGAGTCGGATCTGGAGGGCCGGGCCTGAAAGTCCTGTTTAAATAAAGGTTCGGGCTTTAAAAATAAATTTTTTTTAAAGTAATCCGGCTTGAGGGCTTGGCCCTGATAAGCCCTGTAAAATAGGGCTTTGGTCCGGGCTGCCCTTCAAGCCCTGTTATATTATTTTTATTATTATTTTTTTTAGTAAAACACTTATTTAAAATCAATGACTTGCTCACCTGATCCTACATACATTATATTATTATTAATTTTAATTTATTCTAAAATTAATTTAATATAATTTAATAAATATCAGTGTATAGTATAAAATTTATGATATTTTTTATTTTTTTATAATTATTATGTTTGTATATTTATAAAAAAATGAACTATTTTTTAAATGAAGATTTAAATTTTATTACTAGACTTCTAATATATGTTATTTAATTTCTAAAAAATTATGATGATTTTAATTTTTTTAATTTTAAAATATTTTAATTTATTTATAATGTTTAATTTTATTTTAATTTTTTTATTTTTTAAAAAAGGGCTTACGGGCCTGGCCCTGAGCCCTGAGTATAAGGGCCGGGCTTGAAAAATAGGGATCAAAATGAGAAACCGGGTTTTAGGGCTTAGGCCCTAAAGGGCCGAGCCCATAAGGGCCAGGCCCTTAAGGATCGAGCCTGCCCTTATTTCCAGCTCTACCATCAGGCAAGTCGGAGCCACAATAATGTGGGCCCAATTCATGACATAATCTTATAACTCAACACTACATCATAACTGTAAGTCTGTAACACATAAAGAAATTATATTTTCAAGTCAAAATCTGTCTAATGTAATCTATATGTAAATTGCACAAGGTTGTATTGTTCACAAGTGAACAGTGATTATATATGACCTTTTTTAAAAAAATTCGTAATCTAGTTATGCGTATCCTTCAATGTGACTGAATTTTCAAAACTAATTTCTCCAGCATCTGATCTCCATTTTTCCGCAACCTCAAAGTTCTTTTCTCTCGTCCGTCAATTCGGGAACCATCCGTTTTGGCATAGGTTGAAATTTCGGTATTCACGGTTACCTCGAGAGATCTAAAGTCAGGGTCTCCTTAGAGGCAAGATAGGCATGCGGTTCTTCAAGAACCCTCAACAACGTTCGTTTTTTTGCTAGTGACTAGGGTGGTGATTTGATTTGACATTCCTTTGTCCCTGTGGTTCTTTAAGAAGTTAATTGCTTGTTAAGTGATGCTTTCTGAGATTATTTTACTGAGAATAATGCTTTCTGCGAGGGTAAAATAAGCCGAATGGGGGAATCAACATAACTATTTCAACCAGCGACGCACTTTTTTCTTCTTCCAGAGTGGGTGCCACAAAATATAGATGTGCTATAATAATACAGGAACCTGTGAAGATTTGAACTTTAACGTAGAGCCTCTTTCATTTCTTCACTTTCTGGGCTTTCATTTGACGCAATGATGGCTAATCAAGCCATCAAGGTGGCGTTGTAATCCGCTGAAGTCACAGACGGACTAAATCCCAGTGCGTGGAAATGTATCACGCATTATTTAAGAAAAATAATAATAAAATCTTTTAAAATATACAAATAATAATTTGATCCCTCAAGATGTCATAGCACTTCTGAAGTTTCTAAAGACATTTATGTCATTAATGAATTTATATAAATTATTAAATTATTCTTGTTGAAAATAAACAATTCACAACTTTCCTTCTTATATTTAAAATAATGCAATAGTAAATAAGAAATTTAATGTGTAAAGTTGTAATTTGCTGTTGCATTGTTATGAATTTAAGCAGGAAAGTTGTGAATTGATTATTTTCAATGAAGGCAATTTGATAATTTATATAAATACATTAATTATATAAAAGTCCCTAAGAATTTTAAATGAATTATAGCATTTTGAGAAATTAAATTATCATTTATATATTTTAAAAAAAATTATTATCATTTTTCTCATTATTTAATTGGCTTGAGCTTCCTCATGTTCAACAATATTCAAGGGTTAGTACGACACCATCCCTTTTATTTAAAAAAAAGTCTTGGATTCGAACTAGAATTGAGAATTTGGGCACGAACCCGAATAGATTTGACTCTTTAAAAAGCTCTAATAGTTAAGGTCAACCTGAATTTCTTTGTGCTTTAGGTAGCCCGAATAATCAAATTTTATTTTCAAAATCATTTTAATTAAATTTTTTACTTTAAAATTAATTATTTTATTTTTAAAAAATATTTTTTGATATTTAAATGATGTATAGGACTCAAATATATGATATTTTAGTATAAAATAATCTAAAACTTTAAAAATTAACTAATATTTATCATATTCTATATATTTTGTAAAAGTAAAAAAATTATTTGAGTATTCGGGCCAAGCTAGAACCGATAGGGTTCGAGCTTGGCCCGAATAGGTCCAAACATCAAAATATCTTTTTTTTAAAGCTGAATCTTATTTTTTTTTTAAAAGTAGGTTCGGGCTAGCCATCAAGTTCGATTCAAATTGTCAGTTTTAATTTGAACCCAACATTAATATGATTATACGTGTGCATGGCTGCATGTGTTTCTTTTTTCTTTTTTCGGAAAAAAGGATTAGGTTTGAAGTAAATTCTTTTTTATTTTAAAAAAAAATGCATGTGCAATGTGTTGGGGCCCATGACACTAGATATTTTGAAGCAATAAGCCCCAATTTTGCCTTTTTTTTTTAAAAGAATTATATTAAATTTTTACATAAAAAAATTAATTATTGTTAATTATTAATGCAGTTTAATTCAATTGTTAATGAACTTTATAATAATTAATTTTACTCTATAAAACCTTGTTGTAATTTTTCCCTCTTTCTTCTTGTTCACTTGCCATTGTTAATAGAATCTTCTGAATGAACAGGTAATGTACCTCTTTTTTACTTAATTATTTAATTGTATTTAATTATAATGATGGAGGTCATGTGCGTTTGAGTGTCACCTCAGTGTCCCAATAATGGACAGATAATTAAGCTTAAAAATAATAGCTAGCGTAAAGGTAGATGGTGGCGGAGAGTCTTTTATTATATGAGACACGTTTTCATAAAATTTGTATTATTCTACATGCAAGACATTATTTGAAAGATCAACAACATTGACTTCTCATTCTTTTTTACAAGTGCTTATACTAATTGTGTTGTTAAAAGAAATTATATTAGGGCGAAATTAAATATAATTAAGATATATTGATTTTAATTAGAAGATAATACTAGAAAGTGCACAGTGATAAATTCTTTTTATTGTTTCTCGGACCATTTTTTTTTATATATAGTTTCAATGATACAAAATACTTTTCTTAATAAACGTGGTGTAGTTTGTCTTGTATACAAAATCGAAGAGTACATTCTTATATTTTCTGAAAATAAATAAGCAATGTAAGATTAAAGTTGAAAAGTTGCCTATCAATTGTAGTTCAAGAAAGAAAGAAGCCAATTTATCCAAAAGCAAACACAAAAAAGAAAGCCAGGGTTATTCTTCGCTTTCAGTTTACTCCAATTTTGTTTCCTTTTCCGGAGCTGAGCCAACAAACTGATCCATATGGTAGGATTTTAGTCATCTACCCGTCTTTATATGCAAGATGTCTTTTAAAAAAATATTTTATTCTTAAATAATTAAGTAATTTTGCCCTTATTGTCTTGAAAAAAAACAGAGACACTAATTGAGTTTTACCTATCACCATAATATTAACTGTAACATTATTAAGAATTTAACGAAAAAATTGTTGTGATTTTGTATTCTTTTAACTAAATAACAAATTTTTGTTGGCACATAAAATTTAATTAAAATTACCTTATATATAAAAATTAGGGAATGAGTGATTAGGTCAAACCAAGCACCGTATTGAGATCAAACATAATCCTGCTTGTTATATATACACATACGTGCTCGTGTGTATATGTATATGTATATGTTAGGTTGTCTAGTTTCTCACTTAGGCTACATCCTTACCTCAATTAGGTAATTTAAAAATACATAATAAAATTAAATAATACTGTTTTAAAATTTTTAATCATAAAAAGTGATCACAGAGAAAATTAAGAAGTAAAAAATAAATAATTATGATC